TGACTGAAGCATAGTATTCCAGTGTTTGTGCTGAGATTTTCTCATAGAACACAAGATAGCTTATAATAATCCTTTTCTTCATTAATAACAAAATTTCTTCTCGTACGGAAATTTTCTGCAATTCTTTGATAATTCTTCGGTGACCTGCATGATTAAACATTTAGTTTTTCCCAATCCACGCGTCATCGGAATTTTGCCGTAAGCATTACAGTGCTTTTTTTCATTCTCAAGACCACTTGGAATGGAGAAGGGAACACAGACCATTTTCGAGCTCCAGTGTCGGAACGCTTCATTGATGTAATTAAAGACTCTGTGGCCTCGATAAAATGCACAAATCGGAAGAAATTATCACCCACTGACAGGGGAGGCAAGTCGCGTTTTGAATACGTTTCTTTTAGCCATCTTTTGGTACTAACTCTAACAAGAACTTCAACATTTAATAGAATCTGGCGCATTTGTTTAGGAATTTTGAGAAGAATCTCACCAAGACGAGGATCGCTTCGGAATCCCATTTTTTCATTTTATTTTCAAGATTTCAACCACGACTTCAGGGTGTTACAGGTACTGAGTTGAGGATGAGCGGTACCAAACGGGATGTTGATTGAGGTGAGGGTCTCCTCGCTTTCCAGCCAGTGACAAAAATATGTTCTTGATCTATTTATACAAGCATCAGGCACCACGAACGACTGTTATGAACAATGAAAGGGTTGGGCTTTGAAAATTGCAAGGAGAAACACTAAATAAATTGTTCAAAGAATTCAGTTCCCCGGGCATCTTCAAAAAGTTTCAGTTCCTCAGTGAACCGAAAAAGCACTTATTAAATAAAAATTACTGGGAATGAATAAAGAACCATTCCACAGCAGGAACTACTACCACACCATCAAGAATGGTATGATTCACCCATCATCGAGGCCTTCTTTTTTCTTTATACCGAGAACTTTAACGCGATGACAACGCATCTGCTATTTCTTTCTTTTCAAGTTAGTGAAGCACTTGTCTTTCAGTAAATGTACTAATTGTAAGGGGCATCTGAAATGCCATCCCTCACGCCAGGGGTATATTTTCATTTTGCAACATCCATCGCCTGGGGAAAGAGGAAGTCAAGGTCTTCCTGGTCAGAATACCGAACATTTATTTTTGGAATCCCAACCAGCGCTTTCTCCTTCGCCACGTTTATTTGAATGAGGTCACGAAGGGCACGCATGGAAATGGGCATGAATCCAAGGAATAAATAAATAATTCTTCAGCTCCCAAAGGAAGATAAAACTTGGCAAACAAACTCAGTCCTTTTTTCCATCGAACGGTTCACTGAACAATCCTCGAAAGGCCAGTCCATCCTTATACGTCGTATCGAACGGTTATTTTAATCCAACATCGTCTCCGCCAGAAGTACTGTATAATGATTACAAAAAATTGAATATGACAAAAGAACGAGGGCATTCCAGACTTCTGCGCGTTTGCGACTCCAGTACTTAAAAACAAGAAAACGAGGGAACCATCGGCAAAAATTTCTTTTGAATTGACTCAAGAAGCACGATTTCTTATCACGATGACTTCCGAATTTTCATGTGAACATTGAATTTCATGATTCCACTGAACTTACGCGTCGGCATAAAAAATATCCTTTTTTTTAATCGCAACCACGAAATGAACATTTTCAATCGCATGAGCTTGTCGTGTCCTTTTTTTCCAATCCTACATGGAAAAAGGTTTCCGTTCATTTATACCACAAGTCAATTCATCAAACAGAAGTCACACCGATTATCCGATTTTAAATCACAGAGAAAAACGGCTTTGTTACTCAGGTCAAACTCCAAAAGGAACGGTCGACAAGCGCGATTTTANATTCCCAGGGATTCTCGGGTTCAATCACGTCACCTCGTGGATGGATACGGGATTTCACCCTAACGAACCCGACATCCGAGCACGTGCTAATTATTTCGAATGAGGGAGAAAATCGATTGAGATGAAACGAGTGGTCGAAGGAGAAGAACCTTGGCTGCTGTTGCCAAGTAAAATGTCTGCCTCCTGGAAACATCTTTTAAAACTGTTTCTACATAATCTCCAACTTTTTCATCTCCCATCATCATCAAAATGTTAGCACCTCCGAGAAACGCAAGATAACACCCTTCTTCCTGATAACAATTCGACACCACGTCACTTGCTCGGTGACTTTCGAGAATAAATAAATCCCTTTCAAACTGATCAACTATCAACAGCCACAAAGCGACGAAGGATAAATTATTCAACCGAGAGCGAATATCTCCGCCGAGTTTCCGGAAAAGTAAGCAACACCTTTTCATTCTGTTTCACAGTACTGTATTTTGAAAGGTGCAACGGTAATCATCAGGGTTATTCCATTCATTATGAAAATACAGGTCTTAATTTAAAGTTGAAAACTACGACAAACGATGAGAAATGGGTAGTGATGACTGAAGCATAGTATTCCAGTGTTTGTACTGAGATTTTCTCATAGAACACAAGATAGCTTATAATCCTTTTCTTCATTAATAACAAAATTTCTTCTCGTACGGAAATTTTCTGCAATTCTTTGATAATTCTTCGGTGAACTGCATGATTAAACATTTAGTTTTTCCCAATCCACGCGTCATCGGAATTTTTCCGTAAGCATTACAGTGCTTTTTTTCATTCTCAAGACCACTTGGAATGGAGAAGGGAACACAGACCATTTTCGAGCTCCAGTGTCGGAACGCTTCATTGATGTAATTAAAGACTCTGTGGCCTCGATAAAATGCACAAATCGGAAGAAATTATCACCCACTGACAGGGGAGGCAAGTCGCGTTTTGAATACGTTTCTTTTAGCCATCTTTTGGTACTAACTCTAACAAGAACTTCAACATTTAATAGAATCTGGCGCATTTGTTTAGGAATTTTGAGAAGAATCTCACCAAGACGAGGATCGCTTCGGAATCCCATTTTTTCATTTTATTTTCAAGATTTCAACCACGACTTCAGGGTGTTACAGGTACTGAGTTGAGGATGAGCGGTACCAAACGGGATGTTGATTGAGGTGAGGGTCTCCTCGCTTTCCAGCCAGTGACAAAAATATGTTCTTGATCTATTTATACAAGCATCAGGCACCACGAACGACTGTTATGAACAATGAAAGGGTTGGGCTTTGAAAATTGCAAGGAGAAACACTAAATAAATTGTTCAAAGAATTCAGTTCCCCGGGCATCTTCAAAAAGTTTCAGTTCCTCAGTGAACCGAAAAAGCACTTATTAAATAAAAATTACTGGGAATGAATAAAGAACCATTCCACAGCAGGAACTACTACCACACCATCAAGAATGGTATGATTCACCCATCATCGAGGCCTTCTTTTTTCTTTATACCGAGAACTTTAACGCGATGACAACGCATCTGCTATTTCTTTCTTTTCAAGTTAGTGAAGCACTTGTCTTTCAGTAAATGTACTAATTGTAAGGGGCATCTGAAATGCCATCCCTCACGCCAGGGGTATATTTTCATTTTGCAACATCCATCGCCTGGGGAAAGAGGAAGTCAAGGTCTTTCTGGTCAGAATACCGAACATTTATTTTTGGAATCCCAACCAGCGCTTTCTCCTTCGCCACGTTTATTTGAATGAGGTCACGAAGGGCACGCATGGAAATGGGCATGAATCCAAGGAATAAATAAATAATTCTTCAGCTCCCAAAGGAAGATAAAACTTGGCAAACAAACTTAGTCCTTTTTTCCATCGAACGGTTCACTGAACAATCCTCGAAAGGCCAGTCCATCCTTATACGTCGTATCGAACGGTTATTTTAATCCAACATCGTCTCCGCCAGAAGTACTGTATAATGATTACAAAAAATTGAATATGACAAAAGAACGAGGGCATTCCAGACTTCTGCGCGTTTGCGACTCCAGTACTTAAAAACAAGAAAACGAGGGAACCATCGGCAAAAATTTCTTTTGAATTGACTCAAGAAGCACGATTTCTTATCACGATGACTTCCGAATTTTCATGTGAACATTGAATTTCATGATTCCACTGAACTTACGCGTCGGCATAAAAAATATCCTTTTTTTTAATCGCAACCACGAAATGAACATTTTCAATCGCATGAGCTTGTCGTGTCCTTTTTTTCCAATCCTACATGGAAAAAGGTTTCCGTTCATTTATACCACAAGTCAATTCATCAAACAGAAGTCACACCGATTATCCGATTTTAAATCACAGAGAAAAACGGCTTTGTTACTCAGGTCAAACTCCAAAAGGAACGGTCGACAAGCGCGATTTTACAGCCCTGGCTTAGCTCATTCATACTGCACATGATATTGAACAGTTTTCAGATTTCACCACGCCTTCTTGGCATGTTTCAAAATCATCAGGTGCATTTCCCGTAGAAATTGCAAAACTCGAGTCTGAACTGGAATGGATATGAATTTAAAAATACCCCAACTTGGCACTCAAAGGCAATCTCAACGGACTGGTACTACAGTCCGGGAACATAATAAATATGGGGACTGTAATGCACTTCGAAAAAGATAAGTTTGCACTCGAACCTCTAAAAGTCGAACTGCAACAGATTTCCAGTGAAGGGGAAAAAAGCATTTGCGCTGAGAATTACAGGAGGTTGTAATATGTGATATGCCAGGCCTTGAATTCTTTCTTCAATGAGTTTGAAGAATGCTGAACTTGGAGGCAAGGGTTCATTTGCCCAATTATTCTTTCCCTTTTTGTTAAAGCACATCGCTACATTTTCATTGCTTTTCTCTCTCTTGTGTCAACAACAAAAAATGGCCAAAAGGCCTGCAGAAAATTCGATTTATGGAGGTTTGAGGAGAAAAGCCTTCCAGTCAGGGAGGTTTATGATGCTTCATTTCCAAGGAAGTTCACACAATAACGTCAAAAAATGTCGACATCCGGAGGTTAGAGTTATTCATGTTCAACTAACTCTTCACGATTTTAGCAAGCAATATCCTCCGACGACTTTTTGGATTTTTCCATCTACACAGGAACATCACTCACCGGGTTGGCCGTGTGGATGTCAGTCTTCCGGTCCAGAAACTCCAAGACTCGGTCGCAGTTCCCCGCCTTCGCCGCTCGCAAGAACGCCGCATTGGTGTCGCTCTGTCGTTCATCAGCAACAAAATAAGTCGGGAACCGAGGAAGATGAGTTTCAAGGGTAGGGAAAAAAAAAGTGGAATAATTAGTAATATTCTGTTAGAGAAAAGACAATCTGCAACACAGGTCGTGCCTCCTAGGGCAGAATGCATACCAGCGTTCCTTGCTGCGTTTCTGTCACCATGGCTAGCGGTTCTTTTCAAGCTCCTCGCGTCTCACACTAGCCACACATTACGTTCCGATCGCGATACGTACATCACCTTTCAATCCCATGCGATGACAACGCACAGACCACAACAAGAAAAGGAACAAACCGCACACAGACACGCACACACTTGTGTTAACAGCTGCAGCAGAACACTGGGAAAGAATTTCATTAGGAAGGAAACATGCGGCAAACACAACTCTCGAGTGAAGGGATTACCAAGGTGTCACGTGCCGGGTTCATGGATCTTTCACGTAGTGTACAGTACTCTGGTACACGGCTAAAAATTCACATCATACGAACGAATCTTGCAGAAAATCTTTTGAAAATTCGGTAACCTCCTAATCGACTGTGTCTTGCTTCAAGCTGAATCCGATCTTCTCGATATTCGGGAACAGGACATCAGTCCCTAAAGAATCTTCCGAATTAGGGGGCGGGAAATTGTTGAATGGATAGCTGAGAGCGAAAAAAAAACCAGAATGCAACTCCATTTTCGAAAAATAGTCACTCTAAGTCGAACAAAACTTCGAAAAACTTTCCTGAATGAGGTAACGCTTAAACTGAAATAAAACGGATCTCTGAAGAATCTTCCTTCCATCATGTTCGACGAGAACTTCTCTCGTTCCATGAGAATTCAAGAGAGCTTCACATGACCATCAGCATTTCTTATAGATAGAAATACAAAACGCACACACATTTTTTATTTTTTTCGCAGCGGCGGAAAAAATCAAGCCTTAAAATTCGAAAATAACTTGGCACATTACAAGACTTTCACCAGCTCATCTTCAAAAGAGAGTCAAGTGTTGAAATTGACAGGACTGCACAGTAATGAAGGAGAGTTTCTATCGAATCCACTGCTATTAACGACAACTCATTATCGGAACCGTCACCATAGAATTCGCGGTGACTCACATAGAAAACGGAACACATAAAATGCCATCAAAATCTCGTTTGAAAATTCCCCGCGAACACTTGGATCTGGATCAGGACCAATGATATGGAGATGCCACGCAAGTATTCTTCAAATCAAGATTCAATACAGCTTTGAGATGAAAACTCGGGTTGCGGATCAAGGAATACAATCCAGCCAATGGAATGCACATCAAAAAAGGGAGAACCCCCAGAACAATGGAGCACTTCTCACACTTTTAAAATAAGTCATTTCCCGGACGGACGTGGTAGATGCGTCGTGATTCACAGACAGGACGAGACCCGGTAGGGAATTAAACCCGTCCATTGCAAGAAAAACTTCCGGGGGAGTACAACGAGTACCTCCATCACTACTGTATTCTGGTTTCCCTTTCCACCACCCGTGTGGATCACTGAATAAGACCTCAGCGACGCTCGTTAACACACATTCGATCTGCCGAGGAGTTCCGCAGAACCGTAAAAACGTCCCCAGCCTTCGCAAGAAAGGAAAAGCAGAGTGGGATGCAGTCGAGCCCATTGCGGTGGTGGTGGGAAAACAGCAGGCAGTCTCTGGCTGTCTGTATGGGCTGCAGGGGCAGACCCGGGATCGATCAGACACACCATCAGACCCTCTCCTTCGGGAGCCCAGCCCTGGGCAGGGCGCTGGAGAAAAGGGATGGCTGCGACTGGAGGTCCCCAACGCGCCGCGACCGTACAACTTACCACCACCCAACTGAACGTTTTCCTGAATAAACTAGAACGAAGTGTCTATAATATAAACAAAGGTTGTGTTCTTAATCAGGGTTTTTCATTCACCGGAAGCTCATTTTGAGAAAAATTAGGGCTTGGTACTTGAAGAAATACAATAATCAAGAAATGGTCAATTTTCAGCTTTTTGAGATGCATGAGTCATTGACAAAAGGGGAAGAGCAAAGGTTGTGTGACACAATCTTCCCCTTTCCTGCGGAAAACCTAAATTTAATATTAAATTTTAGATTTTTGAAAAGCCAGAACACTAGGAAAGGGAATGGGTGCTTATATTTACCTATTTATGGCATTTTACTTTTGTGCATGAAAATCCGGGGGATGCTTTTACAGGTTGACTCACACAACAGTGATCTTGTCTACTATGATTTCTCTGTAAAAACGAATTTTTGTCTGTTTTTGTTGGTTCTCTCTCTAGATTTCATGGGTTCTCTAGAAAGAAACTCTCTCTGAAATTATTGTATGGTCCCTTGATTTTTTTGCAGTATTTTCGTAAATACTGTACCGTAACTGATTTCCTTAAAAAAATCATGCTCAATTCCGATCATAGCAAAGCTTACCAAAGTTAAGGCGAATTAGAAAATGGCTGCATTTCCTCAGAAAACAAAGCTTAATGCAAAAGGTTTTTCAACAGTTTGGGAACTGTCAGTTCATCAGGCTTAAGTTGAGTTGGCCTCGGCGGTCAATTGTCTCCGCACCCCATCGCATCCTGCGCCCATAGCGGTGCTCCCTCCCAACACAGACAATTGATAGTCGGCAGACAGGCTACAGCCGGTGTACCTGTCACATAGGCATGGCCGCCTAAATGTTGGCAGGAAGAACCGAGGTTCTTCCGAAAGGTTTCCCGGGACAGGGAATCCGCCAATTACGTCAAATTAAACGCGGATGCCCAGCCCCAATCATAACGCACTAAAATGAGACCATTCTTGGTTAACCCTGGGAAATAAAGCATCCCAGGAATGAGGGAGGGATGGATGTCGAATTTTTCGTCGTATCGTATTCATACATACTGCACATACATCACCAAATATCTTTCCTCGCAAGAAAAATATATAGAGCAGCATAATTGTGGAATTTTAGTGCGGTTGAACCTCTTCAAGTTGAGCTTCACAGGACCAACAAAAAATTCAATTTAGTTAGGATTCAAGTGTGGGAACCACGTATTTTGGTTAAGGGATGGAAAGAAGAATTGAAGAAAATTGTAGCTGGTGATCTAGGCCCCAAATTTGCAACTTAAATTAGTTGAGGGGATGCTGAACATGGAGGCAGTGGTTCAGTTGCCCAATTAGTCTTCCACTTCCTTTGAGAACAGCATCAAATTATGTTTCCTTTACTTTCCTCTTCTCTGTGCCAATAGAATTATAGCCAAAAGGGCTTAAGAAAATTTGAGTGGTGGCAGTTTGAGGCGGAAAGCTTCGAGTTAAGAACTTTTTAATGCATTGTTTCCAAGGGAATTCAGGTAGGGGCTAGAAAAAATTGACAAAGGGAGATATTTAACTTGGGGAGGTTTGAGTTATTAACCCTTGTGCAGCAAAGTCAGAATATTTTTGCAAAATGTTGTGCCACTGAGCATTGGAAGTTTTAAAAACTTCTGTACCAAGTAATAAGTTGGGAAAAGTCCAATATTTTTTTTCTAATCCTGCAGAAGATTTTGAATGAAAAATGAAACTGGGTGGCATTTTTCATGGATTCCTGGCATAGGTTTACATGGGAGAATCATGAAAACTATAGAAAATGTGCCTCCCACATTTTTACCAACTTTGGCCTTCTAAACCTGGGAGAATTTCAGTGACCTTGGGTTAAACTGAAATGCACCTCCCAAAAAATCCCAACTCTGCTGCACAAAAAAAAAGAACCCTCAGCCATCCAAGGGTTAAGGTTCAATTGTAGAATAATTTTAGTCAATCAAAGATTTTCTTTCCTGATTGCTGTGTTGTTCCACCCTACCATTCCTGGCTAGCAGTTCTTAACTTTTTGTAAACTTTTTTCTTACTCAAAAACTGTCTTCTGTTTTGTGAAAAAAACTTGTGATTCCCAACATGGTTTTCATTGCAATACATTCCATGCAGTGATTTTCAAAATTGTGAGTTTTGCTTCATATATTGTATTTTGAGCCATGCAAAAAGGTTCATCATAAATTATATTTTCAGTTCCACAAAATTTGTTTCATTTTAAACATGTAAGATTGGAATTCACTGGACCACAAAAGTGAGACCTTGCATTTTGCATCAAACACGTTGTAGTTCACTAATATGAAAAGAAGACTAGAAGGAATTCCTTTTTATGTCAAGAATCTGCCAGGCCATGTGCTGCTGATCGTCAAGCCGCCACAAAACCCAGTAAACTCCAGAGCAAACTCAACCATGTAACAGAATGCATTCTGCCACTCGAAGAGCTAATACGGGCATTAGACGAAGAGGACAAGACCTAGAGCAGGACCAATTATACTTATCCACTTGGTGAGCAGCTATGCCTGATCAACAGAGAGCAGGCTCAACATCAAAAAGGCTTTATTCAGCAAATCAATAATCAACCATGGGCAATGGAAAAAGAGAAACTTTTTGGTTAAATTGCTGATGTACGAGGGGTCTTCAATTTCATGAAGAGGAGAACCTCTAAGAATCTAACAAGAAAATGAAAGGGTGCTTCAGTCCCTTCATTTTTTCTGTACACTCCATAAAATCAAATACGTTTTCACTGGCATTGTATCCCAAAAACGCTTTCTCACGTAGTTTTCAAGAATGCTTTGAAATGCTTTCGTCCATCTTTCTTCATTGGTAATTGCCTTACATTTTCAGTTTGAGTGGCCAGCCTTCAAATGATGATTTAAATCACCATAAAAGAAAATAAGTTCAAGGGCCATATCTAACCGAGAGTGTACAAAAAGCCAATTTACTTGTGCCATACAGGCTACGGTATTCATAAATAACAAATATGCACAGAAGCAAGTTGACCAAAGTACTGTAGGTAGTAGACACTTCACTGAAATTAATGAGAGGCATGGAAAATCATGGAATAGCTCGCCGGTTTGAAAAAGTCCTCAAGGGTGAATAACAATTGGGCTGTTATGTGGAAAATGTTTCAGCTTGCTTTCATAGTAATGATTTATTCCCCAATTTCAGCGGCTATTTTTCGAACAATACTGTTGTTGAAAATCATCATAAGCTCACTTTCATTAAAATGTCCATATTAGCGGAAACTTTCATTGACAAAATTCGAAAGCATTGCGGTGGTGGTGGGAAAACAACAGGCCGGCTCTCGCTGGCTGTATGGGCTGTAGGGGCAGACCCGGGATCGATCAGACACACCATCAGACCCTCTCCTTCGGGAGCCCAGCCCTGGGCAGGGCGCTGGAGAAAAGGGATGGCTGCGACTGGAGGTCCCCAACGCGCCGCGACCGTACAACTTACCACCACCCAACTGAACGTTTTCCTGAATATTCTAGAACGACATGCCTACAACAGAAACAAAGGTTGTGTTTCTGTACAGGATTTTTCATACACAGAAAGGCCCCCCCCCCCCCAATACCGTATTACGCAAATATAAGCACCCCTTATTCAATTTAGAAGCTCAAAAACTAGGGTGGGGTGCTTATTTCAGCATAACGTATTTATGCAACATGCGTTCATTTCAGGAATTAGTCCTGTTCGCGGCTCCAAAAAAAAAACGTTTATTTTCTAGTTCTTCTGAAATCAGAGTTTAAATGTTTTTAATTGTTGCTTAAGACACGCGCCCAAATTTTTCACCCCTACAATTTGGAAGAAATCCTATCCCTGAGTAAGATGCACACTCCATTTCAGGTGAAAAAACCACAAAATTTCAAAATTAAAAGACGCCATGCAGAATTCAAATTTAAAAACAAATTCAACCTTAATTCAAGTAATTTTTTATGGTTTTGATTCTCAACAAAAATGTTCCATTATATTCAAGTGTGACGCGCACACAAACTTACAATATTTTTCAAAACGTATCTCTGCCTGTGACACAAACCCACTTTTTCCTCTCATTTTGAAAAAAATGCGTGCGGGGTACATGAATAAATACAATATTCCAGAAAATCTCTGTGACACTTCAAGATGCATGAGTCATCGACTGAAGGGAAAAGCAAGGGTTGTGTGACACAATCTTCCTTTTTCGAGATCTTTCATTGAAAAAACTGCTGTTTTTTTTTTTTGCTTGAGAACTCTTGAACCTGAGCAGAAAATCAGGAATTTTACAGCATAGGAAATTGTTCTCGATTAGTTTCCTAATTTATCAACGTTTCGGGGTAGAAATTCAAAAAATAAAAATGAAAGAAGCAAGAGCTCGGAAATCTTTCCCTCAGTTTCATCTGGGACCTACCATATTTCGCAATATCATCAGCATTCACCTTCATTTGGCCCTCAACACAGTCCGGAAATAACCAAGTTTAAAAAATGCAACTGGCAGTAGAAAAATACGCTGGTCCAACTGAGGTTTCATACCAATACAGGGCACCAGCGGCGAAGGTTCCAAAACTCCAGAATAAATGAGTGAATACATGGATGCATGAGCATGTCACACAGGTACTGGACTAAATAGAAGAGATGGGGCAAGAGCACAGGATCACCGACTCTTCGGTTGCTACAAGGGATGACTGGGTTCAGCCTTATCCACACTCCACCCCGCACACAGGAATCCGCATGCCACATACCCCAAACTTTTTCTGCAGCATCCCCAGCTTTGAGGTGACTATCGATGTCATCGCGGAATGCAATCTGCTCTTCAATTACGCAGGTGATCCAACTGTTCCGCGGCTTTCGCGCATTGGTATGTAACACTCACACACACTTCAGAGATCCTACAGGGCTTATTGATGCACTCGAATCTGTTTTGGACTTGGGCTGTTTGTGGTCACCGCTAACCTGATGGGAGAATTTACAAATAACAATTGATTGAGGTCTTCTCCAATAGTGAGTAGCACATTCAAAGATGATACCCATCACGTAATTGCCTGAAACTGAAACATTTCCCCGTATGCACCAACTTTTCGAATTGCTCGGTTGCTGCTATCAATTCCACATTCAAGAAGAAGCCGGTAATAAGGGGCACTGACAAAAAAGAGCGTACACTATACCGAAACGTTAAGGGATCACGAAATCTTGAAATTGTTTGTGCTCCGACAAACGTTTTGCTCCCGTCAAGGATAACGGGAAACTGGCTGGTTTCTGCGAGAACAACAGCGATCCTGCCGCTTCTTTCCTACAACCCGCTTCTTTCCTACAACCAAAAGTCACTCAAGATTTGGTTGCCAGTTTTATTTCCAGCCCGCGCTCCCACCGCCAACCAATTCCCTGGCAATGCTTCGCCGGTCTACCCCCGCTTTCAGGAATAAAGCTGTGCACAGAATTTCTTCGAATTATGAAATTGTATATAAATTTTGATCTCCTTACAGATCACAATCGACGGCACTACGTTTTTCTCAAAAATTTAAACTTCAACGACGCGAAATTCAGCGATGGAGAATAAGTCAGGTAAACTCACGTCATTCTTAAGTCTGGAAGATTCTCGATTGACACCAATAATTGGAATGCCAGAATACAGTAACACTCATTTGAACACATCGGTGCTTGCGTGATTTTTTCAGGACCACCGATACACCCTTCAGATGTTCACTAGTTCGATTAACTCACTGTTCCGGTTCATGATCTTCGTCCACTTATATGTGGTTGAATTCCGGTGCCAGCTAGGAGTTAAATTCCATCAATGACAAGCAAAATAATCAAGAATGGAAAGTCTAAGTATAGGTACAGAATCCTCAAGATTTTACAGCAAGGATGTCCGGAGTCCCGCCACTCGTCACACATACAGCATAAATACTCCACACAAGTCACATGCCGAAATCTGGTCAAGCGAGGGGATCAGCGTGAATGAAGAGGCGATGATTCGCATCCCAGCTTACACCCCAAGCGAGTTTCTAAATTCTGGAGTATTCGTAGATGATCGAGGTATTTGTGTTGAACAACACATCTTTGTTTTTGAAAATTCGTTGGAAGATGTCGCTAAATGAGCGCTCTTATCAAACTGGCCTAGTCACAGGCCCTGTACAGTTTACCATGCAGGGACCGCTGCAGCACAACTCGACCTCATCATTGATTTGCCTATACTGTAAGGAACATCACTGGCCAATGAAGAGCTCCCCACCCCCCCCCTAAATAAACAAGGACTAGGAAAGGATTTTCTTCCAGCAAAACGGGTTCCCTCCCTTTTTTCCACCCTTGACTTCCAAGGTAAATCTTGGTGCTTATAAGCACCAGACAATTGTCTATCTGGTTATTCTCTCAAGAAAGGAGAACACCAAGGACATGGAATTCATGATCAGAATGAATCTGCACAACAAGTGATGGGTATAGTCAGTATAGAACTGGCTCATCTCAAAAAAGGAAACAACATGGTTCCTTTACATACACAACAACAATCTGAAGGGTATATATTGGTTCTTGGAGGGATGAGGAAGGGCACATATTTTTGGGGGAAGGGAAACCTTGGCTGATGGCAGTTATTGGCAGTCTATGTTAAACATATGGCAAAACTTGGAGGTTTTGCCATCTATTTAACATATATTAGACCCATTTGTTTGGGACAAAATGTTGGTGGTAAGTGGTAACCAAGGGTGGCAGTTTATAGGGGGTTGTTTGTACAGTAATACAAGTTTACCATATGAGAATCCTATCATGTTCCTTGAAAAACTACAGTACATTTTTTACTGGAAATGAAAAGTTCATTGAAAAAACTGCTGCTTGTTTTGCTGTTGCTTAAGAACTCTTGAACCTGAGCAGAAAATCAGAAATTTTACTGCAAAGGAATTTTCTGACACTTCAATGATATTTTTAAAATGTGCATATCGTATATATTGGTATTCTGTGTGAGAGAGAAAGTCCACCTGATGTGTCTGCTTGCAGGGTGTGCTGCAAGCGGCGACCGGACGTTATGGTACAGTTTCCAACTCAACGCCACTCATTTCCACGCTGCTACCCTAGAGGGCTATTCCCTTCCACTCTGTCCCTCAATGCCATAAATGAGTAACTTTATGAACTGCGCGTGCTTGCTGATAGGAATTACATGTTGAAGAATGGTGTAGGAAGATAAAATACTATTCAATGCATGAACTTGCGGCATTAAAGCCTTTTTAAATGACTTGTTGCAGGTATGATTTACCCGTTGTATATGCCTGAGGTTTTGACATCATGTTCTACTCAGGAACTTATCCAGAAATTCAAATTATTTTTTCAAGTAGCCTGATGACAAGATAATCTCAAGTGAAGGTGTAAGTGGAAGTCATTTCTGAGTTGAGAAAACGTGATGTATCCTTGATTAAATGAAATAAAAATGATTGATTCAAGAGAGTCTGCAATGGGTAATCCACTTTTTGTGATGCCCTGCATCAGAAGCGCAACATCGAGCCCGTAAATGAAAACATTTTTTCAATACAATGGTATCCCCTTCTGACCAAAGCGTGCCAACTGCAAGACACGCGGCACATGGACAAATTTGTTCCGTTGCTTTTTTTTTTTTTCATCCACAGCTTCTTTTTTTGAATATGCAGGAAACACGCTGTCACCACTAACATACAGTGCATAATTTCACCGCGTATGAAAACCGCTAATCAAGAGATCTCCAGGGTTGCATTCCTTGGGGATTGGGATAGTGTGAAATTTCTTCCTGCTTTCACGGAATTTTCTTCTTTGAAATAATCGACGTTCCGCCACATCTTCAGACCATCAGAGTTTCCCTAGATAACATATTTTATTTATTTAAAAAAGTCTTTTTATATGTGCACTGTTATTTGTCCTTTGGAGTTTCTGTATAAATTTCGCCAAACCATTTCAGTTGAAGTCACTCAATGAAGGACTGGCGCTCCTAGGGGTGGCGTGAAAGAGATAGCCCTGAATGAAGCAGCGTTGAGTAGAAGTTGTACCATAACGTCGCATCACGACAAATTCCACGCATGTTATGTTTATACTGTACATGATAGTGCTGATGAGGACGGTGGACGGAGACTGATGAGGATATTTGAACAAAATCTTGGAGGTACAATACTGGACCGATCATGGTGTGCTGCACTTCACATATTACTAGACGCACCATAATTATTTAATTCCATCATATACTGTACATGTGTACCAAAGTTATTGCAATCGTTTCCAGTTACAAGTACAACTGACAATCAGAGGATTGTCGCGATGAGGACCGGAGCTATTTTGGAACTCCATGATTCGTTAATTCCTTTTTTCTGGCATCCGCGTGTAATCATGCTGGTGCTGTGATGGTAAGGTTAGCTGGAAGAATGTGCAGTTCGGGATTCCGGCGAAGTAGAAATGCTGTATGTGGTGTCGTTGTGCGAACCGAAGAAGTAATCCCTGTCACAGATTAATTTTTTGTGTCTCTTTGCCAGTGTCATGGTTTTTGTGTTCATCTTTGTTTTTGTTTGCATATTAGCGTGGATCATACTTCAGTGATCCGCCTATGCGAAAGTTCTGCAGTCTAGGAGGAAGGGATTGTCATACTTTTCTTAAGTCATGATGAAGTCAGATATGAATAACCCGAATCGAGAACACTGATCAACATGCTGCTGCGCAGCGACTGCGCTTTACTGCTATTCTTCCTGCACTGTTCCTCGGTTAATCTTGGAAATGGTTGGTGAAGTTATGTGATTTCTGATCCAATTCTCTGATCCGTGATTCCTTTTGATTCCAGGTCAGACTCTGTTATTGGCTTTGCGGAAGGAAATTCAAGTTATTGAAGCGAGCGGTGGTCGCAAAGGAAATGTCACGAGCCGATCGTTGATATCGGTTGTATGCTTGTTATAATTTGATATTATCGTGTTTTGACCAAATTTTTTTCTGCAGAACCTGGATGATACCATATCCGTTGATTTCCACTTCCGCCGAAATCTAGTTTGTTGGGGTGATCGTCATTCTGCCCTGATTGATTGCGCAAAAGTTGAACCCCGTCCTTCATCGACAGGTGCGGTAACTCAATGTTCTGCATCATGGAGTGCAGTACAGTATTGTTCATTGAACATTTGTGCCTCTAGGTTGGGCTGCCCAAGATATACATCCTGTCGCTCGAAAGAAAGCATCTCCGGATGGCATCGCAATCGATTGGGTTAACGACAAAATCTATTGGACTGACGTTGGGGTTGACGCAATTGAAGTTTGCAATCTGGACGGCTCGAAGCAGCGAAGGCTGTACTGGAAAAATATTCAAGACCCTCGAGCTATCGCTCTTGTTCCAAGTGAAGGGTAATTTTAAGCGCGCGAAGATTAAAAACTCTGAGAACTAAATTGGTAGTATTTTCCTGGTAGTTTATTGTTCTGGACAGAATGGACAGAGAAGGCAAAGGTTGAAAGAGCTGGTATGCACGGAGATGAAGCATCGAGATACGTCTTGGAAGACGAACGAATATTCTGGCCCAACGCCTTGACTATTGATTATGCTGGCCGCAAGGTTTACTGGGCGGATGCTGAGTTGAAATTCATAGCTTCCATGGATTATGATGGAACAAATAAGCGCTACTTCGGCGAAAACCTGCTCAGTCATCCATTCGCAATTTCATTCCATCGCGGCAAACTTTTTTGGAGCGACTGGAACCCGGGCACGATTGACACCTGTGAGGTTGCCGCGAATTGCAGCAGGATCCGCAAAATATTGAATCGTCGAGACCCTATGGACGTGCAAGTTTGGGACATCGAAAGACAACCTGTAAATTTTTCTCCGTGTTCCAATAACAACGGAGGATGTTCAGACCTGTGTCTTGCTGCGCCAAAGCCACAGCAATATGCCTGTGTTTGTCCCACGGGTATTCGGCAACTGAGCGAAAAAACATGTGACCAAAGCTACTCAAAATTCCTTTTGTTGGCTCGACGTTCGGAAATTCGGATGATATCTTTTGATACCACGGATCGCATGTCAGTGAATATCCCCTTGACTGACGTGACTGCGGCAAATATTGTTGAGTTCGATCCTGTGGAAAAACGTATTTATTGGATTGAGGAAAAGGTGAGATTCAATTTCGTCTTGTTCCATCACACAGCCAGAAATCTCTGTTGAAAAACTAATGTATTTTTTTCCGCACTTCTTCCCGATTTGCAAATGCCAGTCGTATAGTTTTTTTGTTTTGATTGCAGCGATTAAAAATCAAGTTATTGTCTTCGAAATGTATGTGAAAAGTTTTTGAGTGAGATAGTACCGTACATTAGTGCAGGAATGTGCACCGATTTAGGCTATTGGCTCATTTCTATCGCGTAATGAGATTTGAGCAATTAAGTTGTGACTGGAAATTCAGTTCTGTGAGGAGGAGCATCTGGTAGTTTTTTTCTGAATTCTGCAGTTATCGTTGTCAAGGTCAAGCGAGACTCATAATATTGACGAGGAAGTTAACTTCTATTGAACGGAAGCTGAAAAGAAATGTCAGTTTTTGAAATGGATTCCTGATGGGAAATCATAGTCGTTTAAAAATATTCCCTGGCATTTTGTTCGGTAAGTTGCAAGTATCTTCGATTTCGTAGCAAACTGTTCAGATTTAGGGGTCTGTAAGAATGGAAACGTTGGTCTGAAGCTCAATAGCGTTATCATCCTTTGAAGCAGTGACCCTTGGGCGTAAAATTGGTAATTTGAACTTAATTTGTTCGCGGTAATCCGCGAACATATCAGTTTATTGATGAGCTTCATATAAATGTGTACCAGGCCGATATTGATGAAAAATGTTATCTTCGGAGCTGGTCGGGATCGCTCGATTTCGATGTAATTTAGCGGTACCTAAACTGTCATGAAGCGGGGCTTAATGCATATCAACAGGTTGAATACCCTTTATATTTTTATACCACAGGAGCGGGCGATACGAAGTTGTTCGATGGATGGGACCGATGAGAAATTCATCACTTCAAGTAGTTTGGATAGACCTGAAGATCTCGCTATTGACTGGGTTAGTCGGAATCTATACTGGACTGATGGAGGAACGAAGAAAATCGTGGTTTCGAAGTTAGATGGCTCCTCATATCTAGTAATTAATTTATTTTAGCCTAATTCCGTTTCAATCATGATGACATTTTATTCGTCCTGCGCAGGACATTGTTGAAAACTTGCGAGATCCAAAGGCAATTGCAGTAGACGTCATGTCCGGGATCATGTTCTGGACGGACTGGGGGGATAAACCTTCTATCGAGAAAGCAAGGATGACTGGAGCGGAGAGAACTATACTAGCTAACAAAGATCTAATCTTACCTCGAGGAATCGTTGTTGATCCGTCGAAATCACGCATATTTTGGGTTGATTCGAAGCTGAAGTACATTGAGGTTTGTCATTCCTTCTTTAATTATTATAGGTAATGTGAAAGTTCAAAGTGCTTGTTTATTCACAGAGTATGTCTTACGATGGAAGCGGAAGAAAAATAATCATGGCGGAATTAAATCTGCCGTTCGCAGCCACCATACTTGAAGATAAACTCTATTGGACGGATTGGATTTTGAGGAGTGTGGATGGTATTGATAAAGATACTGGAGAGAATCGAGCGTTAGTTCTCAACCTTCCCGATATTATGGGTATCAAAGGTAAGGAAACACATATTCCTGCCTTTCACTCGCATTTCCTGCGTCACTTACGCAACTTTACTTCCTTTTTAGCGGTGAACATGGACGAATATCGAATAATGAAACCGCGGGCAAAGGAGTCATCAAAATGTGCTGTCAAAAACGGGGGGTGCTCACATTTATGCTTGAATAACGGATTGGATGCGCCTCTTGTTTGCAAATGTCCGAAGGGCTGGTCGTTCATTTCTGGAATTTGCAAACCCCCTCCGGCTTTCCTGATTTATTCCTGCCGTTATGATATCCAAACCATTTCGCTGGAAACGTTCAAGCACGGAAATTTACCCCTGAGTGGGATTGAAGACGCTGGATCGCTTGATTATCTCTACGAAGAACAACGAATTTTCTGGGCCGATACGAAAATAGGAGCGATTTCTCGAGGCTTTTTAAATGGCTCCGGAGTGGAACAAATCGTACAAGTCGGAGTGAAATATTTAGAAGGTAGGTTTTCGTTTTGAGTCCAATTTTTACTGCAGTTAGATTTTTTTCGTGTATTGTACATGAACAAGGTCTGGGTAAGTATTCGTTATGCGTGAAATATTTTGAAGTCGACAGAATAATTCTACTTGCAGAACTTGTCTTCCGATTGTCAAACTTGAAATTCGCGGTACTCTCAATTCGACTGTTGTGAGACAATTGTTTTTCTTTCTGTGGACAGGAATGGCGGTTGACTGGATATCACGAAACATATATTGGGCTGATTTGGGCAGTCATCGTATCGAAATGGCTCAACTCGATGGGAAATCGAGAAAGGTTTTGATTTGGAAGGACATTGAATCGCCGCGTTCCCTGGCCGTAAATCCTTTGCATGGGTAAGACAAATACCATATCTACTTGAGTACCTCGCACACGTTTTCTTTCAAATTCAAGAGGAGAAAAGGCAGGTGCATATCATAGGCGGGTATACATTTGAAGTTTTAGAAGTTCAGGTGTGCATTGTATTTGATGTTGATGGGGAATTTTGGACCAAGTTCAACTGATGAACTTATTTCAATGGAAACAATTGAAAATTTATTGGATTCAGGTTCAATGCATGTCTAAATTCGAATGTGGGCAATATTTGGAATATTGCAGTTGTACTATCACTAAAATTGGGGTGCGCGTCTTACTCAGAGATGCATGTGTATCTAAATTTTCAAATGAAAAAGCCTGGTTCATGTCTTACTCCAGGGCGCTATGGTGCTTGAATAAATACGTTAATTTCAGTAATTAATTTGCTTTGTACTTCGAAGTGAAAATCGAGGTCTATGCTTGGGAAGGCTTCATATCAGGCATGTAACGAATTGTTGTGTTTATTTTTTAGTTATCTGTATTGGAGCGAGTGGAGTGAACATAAACCGCGCATTGAGCGAACTACGTTGGATGGTACCAAGCGAACGACTCTGATTGATGACGTGGGCCGATCAAACGGGCTCACGATAAGTTATGACGAGCAGAGATTGTACTGGATGGATGTTGACGGGAAACGAATTGAAAGTGCTGACCTCGATGGACGAAACAGACGAACTCTTATAACTGATGGGCTTCGTCAGCCCTTTGGAATGACGCAGTTCGGTGATTTTGTCTATTGGACGGACATTGAAAAAGACTCTGTGGAAAAGGCTTCTAAAGACGGGCAAATACGGACGACTGTGGGAGCAAATTTAACGTATCCAATGGACATACTAGTGTATCACGAATCTCGACAGCGTGGGACCAACGCTTGTGCATTTGGAAATGGCGATTGTTCTCATTTATGCGTGCCTAAACCGCGATCCAGTTTGCACCTGAAAGACGAGCCGATGGACAGAATTTGTGCGTGTCCCACGCACTACGCATTGACGCAAGCTGGTGGCACCACTTGCGTGGGGCCTACTAGTTTCGTGCTGTTCAGCCAAAAAGATCGGATCAGCAGGGTTGTGATGGATACTGACGATTGTCCGGATATTGTTTTGCCGATTCGAGATTTGAAACAAGTTCAAGCTATTGCCTACGATCAGCGAAACGAGGTTCGTAGGATTTTCTTTGTTTTATCTTGGCTGAATAGATTGGTGCCACGTTCTCTGCTGGACTAGCACGGGAGAATGTGATGGGTTTCTCTAAAGTCTTGCGGAACCTCTAAAGCAGTGTTACCCAACCATTTTTAAGCGGCAGACGGGAAAATTTCCATAAAATTTTTTGTCGAGTGGCAAATTTTCGAAGAACAAAAAAAACTTCTGCGGACCAGCAAACTTTCATACAATTTTTGCAAACTCAAAAACGTCTAGTTTGAAAGAATGTCTTCAAAAATTAGAAAGGTAGGCTTGAAATAATTTATTTCAAGGTTAAAATTTGTCCGAAATTTTATCATGGGAGAGGCCTAATTTTATTTTTCGTCAGTTACAGTACTGTATATTAAACTGCTAATCCTTTTTCGAAATTTCAGATGAAGATTATATACTTCACTGGTACTTTTTATAAATTGTGTATGCTGAAACAATTTTCCGCGGACCGGCAAAAAACTTCTGAGGGCTGGTGCCGGTCTGCGGACCACGGGTTGGGGAACACTGCTCTAAAAGACATCATTATGCAGGGTTAAAAATGGTATTTTCATTAAATCAAGGTATTTGCTTATGAAATATCATGATTCTGTCTGGGAGAGCATAATGACAAGTGTATCGAATTCTTTTGTGTGACTGTATAGCTTCTCGTATGGACGGGCGCTCGCGTTTATTTTTATGACTTCGAAGGGGTCTTCGTCTGACAGGAATCTAATCAGTATAAACAGAACAACTGAAAAAAGAGTTATCGAGGACAAATTGTGCAACTGCTGCAAGGTGACTAGAAGTGTTTGAGCTGCTTATCAGCAAGTTTTTTAATAGAGGGTGCAGAAAAATATCCGAGTTTTGTCTAGGTTTACAGATTTATTCCCGTTCCCGTGGGAAGGATTTTGATCGAGTTAAAGAAAATTATAAAGAATGGCTGATCTTCCCACACCTCCAAAAAGGCTATCAAATGAGATATGTGAGCTCTCTCAAATGGCTTATCTATTCCGTACAGCGGAATGCGATAGAATAGAAGCTTTTTTCATTCCCCCGTCGGCGTTGAACTTTTTTTTTCTGAGGGATTTATATGTTCGTATTGATTTCTACCCAATGTCACAAGGGGTAAGTCATAATATCTGTAATAATCTTACAACTCGATTCCCACCCACTCCCATTATTCAGTCAGATAAAATTTTTTTACAAATTGATCATTCTTGACAATATGATATTACCGGAAGTTTATTGCTGGAATACGAAAATCGACAAAGAACCAAAATAACAGTGACTCAGAGGTCACCCACTTTAATTTGATTACATTTCAATGTATTTTTATCCATTTGTGTGAAGAAAGAATTCAACCTTCTTGGTTTTTTGGGGAAAACATTCTTACTACTGTACTGTTAAAAAACAACTTGGAAAATCTCCCTCTATTGATATCCATTATTCTAGTCAGCTAGCATTTATTTGTTCTTGAGAATCTCATGTGCCTCCGTAAAACTTGAAATTTTTTTACTTGTAGTTTTCAAAAAGTCCATTGCGACATTTTAAAAGTTTAAAACTAAATATTTAGTCATCTCATTGCCTGATTGATGTGAAGTTCTTAATCATTTTCACTGGATATTATACTATAAACTGTATTTTTAACAATGAAAGGCTGGCAATTTTTAGGTTTCGTGAAATTCAAAAAAAGCACTTGGTCAAAGTTCTGCATAGTGTAGAGTACTGTAGAGGCTATGGTATCCTTTTCATGGACTCATGTCATGGTGTTGCGAGAAGATGCGGCCGTTTTATTTCTCTTGTGATGCATTTGGTTAACTGGCAGAAACTTCTACTCATTTTTCAGTGCAGTTCAGTAAGTCAATGAAATTTTTTTTACTGGTTTTAATAAGTTGTGTTGTTGTTTTCCATGGGTTTCTCTATTCATTCGGGTTTTTTTATTACTTGATAGAAATGAAAAATGTCAGCTAAAGCAGTGGAAGCATTGTCAATTTCACAGTGCTTTATTTGTTTTTCAATACTTACAAGAAAGTCCGAGGTATCCTTAGTTGGAAATTATTCCTTCGGCGGCTTTGGGATATTATCAATTTTAAAAATAAAATTTGAAGGTCTATCTGGACTCATTTTTGGTCAGGCTTCGCTGTACCTTTTCTGTCAAGACCTCTGTTCACCCTTCTCTTATCTAAGACCTTGTACTTCCCCTAAAAACTCAGAAAAATGAATTTATTAGACAATTGAGAAACGCAGAACTCTGCTACTAGTTTTGGTGAATACTTATGTTTCTTTTACCATATGAAAAATGCAAAATAATTTCAAATTTTGTAACAATGGCAGAGCAAAACTCTGCCAGGATGAATTTTGCAAAACATAAAAAAAATTGTCAAACAGTGCTGATTTTTTTTGAATGCCAAAGAATATGCTTTCCCTAAAGAACGATATTGTTTCAGCTCGATTGTGCGCCATTTTAATTCCTATTCCGAGAATTTTTGTTAGAACCCTGGTAGTGTCTTCGCAGTTTTCTAGAGCTGCAGAAACGACAGTATTACTTACGGTTGTGTGTGCGCCATCTTCACAGGAGTTATTTGGACCGTGCGCGCGAGTCCTATTGATTTAATTGAGTCCAATTGATTTAATTTGGCTGCCGTGTATTGCGGTGAAGTCAGGTTATAATTCCCGGTATTTGAACTTCTCACGAATATGTGAAATATTGTATTGTACAAGGTCTTGTACATTTTTAACGATTAATGAACAAGTTGCTGAAGTAAGCGTCATCTCTCATTCGATACCGTTGCTCATTTTTTCTTGCAGCTCATTTATTGGATTGACGGAAAGTCTCATTCGATTCGCTTTTCTCCGGAAAATGGGACGCATGGGAAACTTTTCGTTGGGACAAATGGAAACGAGTTATACCATCCCTATGATCTGGTTTATGAACCTGTGACGGATTTGGTGTTCTGGAGTTGTGCGAAACGTGACGTTATCAACGTGACGAGAGCGGTTGATGGAAAGCCAATTGGCGTTATTGTTGGAGATGGGAAGGATTCTGCGCAGAAACCGCGCTCCCTCGGTGTTCATTCCATCAAAGGGTACGCAATTTTGTCAGTGGATTTTCTCTTCGAAGCGAAATTTCATCCTGAGTTTGAAGGTCGCTTCATTGCAATTTATGGAAATTTCGATGATTTGTCGTATACAAATCAGCGTGCTCAGAACACGTTTGAGAAAATTTTTATTCCGATGCACGGCACGTTCCAGAGCATTGACCTAGGTTAGAAAAATAAACTCGTGCTCGTGAGACATTTTAATTTATCCTGTGTACCTGTCGACTGTGTCCATCTACCTATGTTGTTGATCAAAATGAATCCTTTTGTCAATGTTGGAAGGTATCATTGCCGTCCGAGTACGTATTTTTTAAATATTTTATCTTAACCATCAGAAGTAACATATGATTCTGGGTTCCTCCGGTGAGCTCCTGAACTTCGGTGATGGAGAAAGAGAAAGTTGTTAGCATTCTCAGTGTTCAATAATGATGAATATTTTCTCGCCAAATTCGTAAATTTGCAAAACAACAATGAACATGCCACAACATTTGAAGCAATTCTGTGCGGCTAACGTATATAGTTTTTCTCTGTAAATTGAATTTTCATATTTCTTTTAGGAAGGGTTTTGCAATGCAGTAATTATTATTCCGTTGCTTCTTCTTATGTGACACCATGTAGTCTGTTGTTCTGGACGGATTTGGCTGGCCCAGTGTACATTCGGAGAAGCAACTTTGATGGCTCGAATGGTTCTATCGTCATCAAAGAAAATTTGGTGCAGCCGACTGCTATTGCAGTTGACCACCGAGAGGATTTGATTTTTTGGGCCGATCGAGAACACAGAAAGATTGAGAAGGCGACGATTGACGGACATTCGAGGGAGACATTGATCGAGCATGGGATATATTCCCCGATCTCGCTGACGGTTCTCGGTAACTTCCTCTACTGGGTTGACTTTGACGATCAAACACTTGAACGAGCGCCAAAGGTGATTATGCCAGATTTTCGTATTATTTCTTTAAAAAAAAAAACGGGAATTGTTTTTTTAAAGGCGCGGAGTGGCGAAGGTGTTGCCGTATTGAGTAGACTGGCCGAATTGACTGACATTGTGAGCGTAGATATTCTCCCACCGAAACTGTTGGAAGCCAGTCCGTGTCGTTCGGGCCGGAATCGATGCTCACACTTGTGTTTGGTGGACTTCGGCACAGTTACTGATTTCGTGAGGGGGACGGATGGGGTAGCAAGGGGACGACCCATGTTGACACCGAGATGTGCATGTCCTAGAGGACTGATGTTGGACTCCGATGGTATCACATGCGTCGGAATTGTACCTTGCCGAGCAGATTATTTTGCTTGCGGAAGCGGCGACTGTGTTCTTCAGGTATCACTCACCTGATGATTTCTAAAGGTCATTTTGGATCGCTTTTTCTAATATTGTATTTCATTTTTTGGCCATTAAGGCGAAAAGGTGTGATGGAAAGCATGATTGCCCGGACGGAAGTGATGAAGTCAACTGCCCAGCTTGTGCTGATAACTTCTTCCGATGCGATGACGGAACTTGCATGGGTGAGTTTTCAAATGTTCACGTGTCTTGAGGTCTTGTCCTTTGTTTCATTTCTCAATTTCTTCGCGCGGCATTGAACGATTGGTTATTGATAATTCCGCTGGAAATATAAAAGTAACATTTTCTGCTTTGCACATTTCAAACGAGTTGAACGACTTCTCTGGCGTGATAATCTTCCAATTGTGGCGATCGGAGGAATACTACCGCACTTCAGAATGCATTTTTCTTGAAAATTATATTCAAGCGGAAGCATTGCAATCAAGTTTGAGGGCCAGGGCTTAATGAAGAACATATGGAGGGGCTTTTTGCTAGTGTGTGGTGATTTAGTTCATATTTTGCGTGAGATTGCCCGCTCTCTTGCTTCATTCACAATCGAAATGAATTACACGCAATTGCTGGATTATGAGCAAAATCTGGCTTGCTTTCTGGCCTCTTATCGTTAAAGATTGTGATAGTGGAGAGTTCTTGCATTCTTTCAAAAATGAATGTCTAAGCCACAACCGAGAAACTTCTATTGGAACGAGATTAGACTTGAACGTAAACGAAGAACTACTTTTAAACCCGTTTTATTTGAACGCGCTACGAATCGTTTGCGGAAAAGTCCTGAGATTTATTCCAAAAAACTTGAATGAACATAAAATGTCATGTACATCGCGACTATGAAAGATCAAAGTTTCCGTTATGAACACTTTCCTGCCACAGTGAAATTCCCGGGATTGATGAGCTTTAGAACAATGGTTAAAACGATGAAAGAATATATCTATAAGGGGATAATGCTTCCTATCGGAAGAAATATGCAGTACGCCTTCCCCGAACATTCAGCATATTTGCTCATCTTCAATCCGCTGAGTGAATTTTATGCAAAAGTGTTTCGTTTATGCCTTAGTATTCATGGGAGACTATGTTGCACGTTTTATTTTAAGAATCGCTTAATGCTGGGATAATGTAAAACTATTATTTTTTCACAATTTTTCGAAACCCGGAAGCGGATGTTATTTGGGATGACCAAGTTAAAGATTATAATGGATTGGAAATTTCAAGTCAGTGATGTGCTAATTCAACTCGTAACTAACGGTCATGATCAAAGTAACCAAATTGATGATTTTCATTGAAAAATTCTCGTTGAAAGATGCGATCTTTGTTGGAACATCGGCGTGGCAGCGATATAATGTGCATTACTTACGCATAATTCATTACAGGCATCAGCATGGTTTGTGATCGCATTCGTCACTGTGTGGACGGGAGTGACGAGACGCCGTCAGCCTGCAGTTCAATCAGCCTGAGCGCTGGTGGAGCCTCCGCCGCATCGCCAGCTGCAGCTGCCATTCCGCCAGCGCCTGCGCCAAGCAACGCTGTGACCTTGGCGATTGTTATCTTTGCGTGCCTTCTTGTGTTCTTCGGTGTCCTAGCTGTAGCCTATTTCTGGCGCACGAATCGGTCCCAGTTGGACACAACCTCGGTCCGAGCCGACGTCGGCAATGGCCACATGACGGGCTTCGACATGCGCAGCCGTGGAACCGGCAGAAGTCAATCGAGTCTTAACTCCTGCATGACTTACGCCGCGCTATTGCAAAGTAGTAACAACGGCAATTGCGTTCAAGTCCCGACACCCGCAGTAGCGTCTTCGTATGATCGGAACCGCGTGACGGGCGCGTCGTCGTCTTCGAGCAGTGGGGCAGTGGCACCCTCTGGCCCACCACCGTCGCCTGCTAGTGCCGTCAAGCTTTCGTATGGGTCGCCGAGTTCGCCGCGTATGCGGGTCCGTAGGGGACCACCGCCACCACCAACGACTCCGTGTACGACGGATGCTTGCGACGAAAGTGACTGCGCGGTTGGCAAGTATTTTGAGTTGGATCCACCGCCGCCGACGCCTGCATTGTGGCATACTTTGTCTGACGTGTCGGACTGTCCACCGTCTCCGGCGACTGAGCGGTCATATTTCAATCCTCAGCCTCCGCCGCCGTCGCCCGAACCCACATCGCTGCACCCGTTTTTGCCCGACTCGTGATTTATCGTGTGTTCCACATTGTGTTGGTAATTTTGTTTTCCACTTATGTTTGTGAACCTCAGCACGGAAAAATGCTCGTGTTTGCACGTCAGTATTGCAGCAAATTGTTGCCGAATAGTTTTGCACAATTTAAGAGCTGGTTATTTTCCAAGTGTTCTGAATCAATTCGCGCATGCCGTTCATTTTCGAAAAATATTTGCTCATTGGATTTCGGCAATGTTCTAGCTTTTTCGTACTAAAAAGGGTAGTCTTCAAGTCACGTTCGATTGGTATATGTTACGAACTTTTCAAATCTACTGGTGCAGATGGATTTCACATTTGGTACAGGTCTTCCGATTTTTGTTTCTTATTTTCACGAAGTGCCTCGAGGATATGTTCATGTTTTTTTTTGGAACTTTTGGTACTGTACATCGTTTTTAGATGAAGGTTGTAGATAACTCGAAATTTCGAAATTCAGGATATTTTAGCTGTGTTCTACGTTTGTTTCGTAAAATGTTTGCATTGCTGTTTGGTCGTCGCACTTTTTTCTGTTGATACATTGCTGTTTCAGTGTATTTCGGGTGATCCCACGATGTAGAACGATTGCGGTTTGGTTTGGCCAGTGTAAAATGTTTCAGGAAACAATGTTCCCGAAATTCTTGATATTCTGCTTTGACTGACTCAATCTTGCTTCTTGATGCATGGTTTCCGTTGAAAAAGGAGAAGTCGGTCTTCCGGGGTGCTCGGCCTCCCTTCGATGCGTTTTGATTGATTCGTCGAACAAAATTCTATTTTGTAGCACTCAAATCGGATTTGGAAAACAGGATGCTTGTTTTCCTGTGTAAATTTCTCTCTGGATCTGATAACACAGCTTCTGAGCTGACGCCATTTCTCTGTGATGTACGGAATGTCAAGATGCGTTCTTGTTTTTCCAGCGGCAAATTCTCGCGTGAGTGCCTTCCACGAAGGAAAATCAATTCCTTCATCATCCACAGTTAGAAAATTTGCTTTACTTCGTTGCCTCTCGTTCGATGGAATGCGAATCCGCCCACTTTTTTGGCATTTGACTGAAGTATTTTTGAGGAAGATATCATCATGCCTTGTTATTGTTCGTCAATGGGGAAACGTCACAACGTCGCTTCTTTTTTTGCATTCGTGCGAGGAGTTGAGTTTGGTGCTCGAAACATGTTTATGTGCATTCTTTCGGGGAACTTTTCCGAGCCGCTGTAAATATTGTTCGTCTCTTGGGCATTGAAATTTGTTCAGTTGTATTTATTTTGGATGGAGTTCCGTTGTTTGAACTGAAGTGCTTCAAGTGTGGCATACAGTTTTTGATCACGTTTGTTTCAATACTGTTATAGTGTAATTCGATTCAAGACACTCCTGCAATTATTTCGCATCCCTTGTGTTTCAGAAGTTCCCCGGGATTGGTGCTAACGGTGAAATAGTGACGAGTGCTAAATTTTCGAAGGTTTTGTGTGTTGAATTGGACTTATAATGGACCAGGCTGAGCGAAAACGAAAGGTAAACCTCGATCTAGAACATCTACCCCTGACGCAGTTGCGCTTTCCTTGTCAAATTTCGGTGACTGGCTGCCACACCAAGCCTTGGTTAGGTGCTGGCTTGCGTTTTGGTTCTAGTGCCACGAAATAGTATTGTTTTTTTTTTATTATTATTTTTCTTGAATCTTTCGAACGTAAATTATCTTGTAGTGATCCTATTCGAATTTCTTCGTAAATTTTCGTGATCTAATTGCAGAATCTTTGAAGAATCGCTTGTCGTCAGATTGATCAGCAGTCGTTTTTTTTTTCGCATTAAATTTTTCAATTTTGTTCCTGAAAAGGGTATAATTTCATTTTTCCTAGATTTTCGACATACAGTACTTCTTGAATGAGGAAAGCCGGAAATCTCGTGATGCAGTGTTGCCTTAAAATTTGGGAGACCGTTGGTTAATTTTTTTCCGTTTATTGAAGCATGTTAGAATGCGAGGTAAATGCAGATGATCAGATTTCGTCTTCTTCTGAGAATTCAATCCTCTTGGACGTATGACTCGAACCCTAAATGAATTCACTTTTACTGGCGAGAAATCGTTGAGTCACGCCGGTGCTCGCCGGAATCCGCCTTTGTTTGCTCGCGTATATGTTGAAATGTTGAGGATGAACGTAGTGGTTCACCGAAAATGTTTTGCCTCAGTGTCATCAGGTGCCCCTCTTCTGCTCACTTGGTTTCGGGAAAATTTTGTGCTGCACTGGCTTGGGTTGCGTTGGCTTGTGTTGATTCCACTTTTGTAAAGTTATGCTTGTTATGGTTATCGATCAGTAGTGAAACCGTTCCTTTTCTATCCCCATCATGTGTGTGTGAGAGAATATTTCTTCCTCAACTGTAGGTTCAGTTGTGTATCTGTGTTCTTCGGCTTCAGTTGGTTTGAGCGATACTGTGGTAGAGGATTGCTTTCCGGTTGTGGTTCGAATTTTTCTCGGAAGTGGTTGTCATGGATGCGATAAAAAGTTTTTTTGTGGATGTGAAGCGAGGCTCCTTCAGCCCGGAAGTGTTGCCCGACGACGAAAATTTGTTGGACAGGTTCAAGGGTTGCATGGCTGGGGCTCTTCTTGGGGATTGCCTGGGTTACTTTTATGAGGAATACAATGATGTGGACGTGGACATCCGACCTTTTGAGCTTTTGTCGGATCTTGACGCTGGGCTAAAACGACGTGAGGGTTTATTCGTAAATCTTCAATATTTATTCATTCATTCGCCCACCGCTCCTGTGAAATTCGGTCCGAATCTTTCCTTCAATCATTAAGCATTGTTATTGTAGGGCCAAGTATTGTAAAGCTTGTAAATTTACGGTAGTTTGGGTTCTGTTTGTTCTTCGTCGAGTTGCATGGCACTTCGTCAATGTTTCCTTTCTCAACTCGAAACCCGTTGAATTTCCTTTCGTTTTCACCGTTACCATATTTTGCAGTGAAGCTGACGCCAAAATTCACTGACGACACAGTATTTACTGTTGCCTTGGCTGAAAGCTTTCTGGAGCGAGATGGATTTAATGCTGTTGATTTTGCGAGAAGGTATGCTTTGTTCAGCTCATCGGCTGTCGACCCTTCGGCTCCGATGTTTATTCTTTAAAGACATCTGCTATTGTTCCAATTTTTTATAAGTTGGATGTGTACGTATTGGGTGGACCGATGATACGTTTTGATTTTTTACGTTTTTATCTCCTAAACGGGTGCAGTTACCACTTCAAGCACACGCTATATTAAAGCCAGTTCAGTTAATTTTTCGATTACAGTGCTTGAACTTTCATAGCTCTAGTTTTATTCGTATTACTACAATACATAGAATAAGTTCATGTAATTTCTCAAAAATTGGGTTCGATTTTACTAGCCTACTGAATTAGAACACTTCATGCCCTGTTTTAAACTGAGCTTTAATGATGAACTGTTGAAGATACCTTCATTTTCAGCGAAACATACAAAGGTAATCTTTCATTTTTTTTCATAATCGTACAGTTTTAGGATTGGAACAAATCATATCATGCAGCAGTTCGTTTTGGAGAAAATGTTTTATTTGTTCGATGTTGTGTTTGCTGTGTGGAAAACGCTTCTGTCCACCCTGAAAAGTATCGCAAGTAATCCAGGAAGTTCTTTTTTTTGTCTTCGAGAATATATCACCAAATTTAAACCGAAGATCATCTCGTGAAATTTCATTCGGAACTTCTTCAATCAGAAGTAATCGGAGCTAATTATCCTCATTTTTGCTTTTTCTGATTGTGCGTCGAGTAAATAATTTCATTCTCGCAGATTCGTTGCATCATGGAAGAAATTTCCTGGCCGTTGTTACGGGTGTGGGATAAAGCCTTTATGCACCAAGTTCGAAAAAATGAATTATGTCAATCCACCCGCAATCGCTCTGACGCTATGGGACGGAGGTTTGTACTTCTGTATTTATACGTGTTGTTATATTTAGAAGTGTGAACTAAATTGAAGAAAATGTCGTGTTCTTTAGCGATGTTCTCCATTGCAACGAATTGTACAGTAACCTTACTCTTGAAAGACGTGACTTTCAAGCTATCAGTTGAACCTCTCTAAGTCGAATTTCGAGGGACCAGGAAAAAAATTCGACTTAGGGAGGTTTTGGGTACAAAACAGAATTTTAAAAATTAAGGATGGTATAACACCCAAAAAGGGCATATATTGATCATTGATCCCCTACATATATTGAATTCAGAACAAGGTTAGGAAGAGATTCCTTCCTTTCAATTTTGAAAAGATGCCCGTTTTTGTGAGTGGGTCATTGCTGCAGTAGTGAAAAGAGACACTGTTTCCAGCACCTGGGCGCCAGAAACAGTGCCTCTTTGTTCAATAAATGGGGGAGGATGCTGCATCAAATTAAAGCGGCTCTCCTCCCCCCCCCCCCCCCCCCCCCCCCCCACCCCTCCGCCCCCCCCCCCCCCCCCCCCCCCCCCCCCAAAAGCCTGCAGTAAAAAAAAAATGTCCCTCCTTGTGTACAAAAATTCGACTTTGGGAGGTTTCCCATGAACTTTTTCGAGTTATGGAGGTTTTTTAAACATTATATTTTAAAGGATTTTAAGATTTTAAGGGGACTGGGGAAAAATTCGACTTGGGGGGGGGGGATTTGACTTATCAAGGTTGGACTGTATTGCATCTTTTTAGGCTATTTTCCCATCGGATTTGTCCAGAGATAAGAGCTGTGTTACTCAAGCGCTTGGACGAAATGTGCATTGTGTGTATTGTTCACTGAATTTCCTACCAATTCCCCAGGTTCATTTGGCAATGGCGCGGCAATGCGTATTATGCCGGTGGCTTTACTGTACCACGACGATGAAGATAAACTTGTTTGTATGGCGGAAGAAGTCTCAAAAGTGACGCATGCCCATCGGCTGGGTTATCTCGGGGGTGTTTTACTTGCATTGGCTATGCATTTGATTTTCAAGGAGCCGTTGGGTTCGGTTATCGAAGCAAATGCTTTCCTTGGACGTTTGATAGATGCTATTGGCAAGATCGAAGCGGAAATCCCCGTCGGTTCTGATTCAGATAGCGTTGGGTGAGTTCTAGGCCTACTTTTCATTGACAGTGAGTAAAATTGACCTAATTGATCGTTGGCCTTTCTGCCGATAATGTCATTCATCATGATCTGAAATTTGCTTTTCCGCTTTAATTATGATTTTACTGGTCTTCTGGTGTAAAATATTGAAGAATCTTCGAAGTGTAAGCGCTATTGTAGCTGTTTTTTTTTCATGCTAATATAGGTTTTCCTGGTTAAATATTTTTTTTACGGTCGATCAGTTCGGTAAAAAATATATAAATCTTTTTTTTTAAGCAGGATTTTTTTACTGGCTTATTCCTGTTAATATCTGTCACTCGTTTAATTTTGTAATAGATTCTTAACTCTCTGATCGTCTGACGAGATATTCTATTAGCCTTTTTTCACAGCGTCTATCTGTACTTTTCGTAGCGAGACAATGAATCAAATTTCATATGCGAAGAAGCTTGAGGCTGTACGAGAATTGTTGGAGAAAGAAGCGTCCATCGATGAGGTTGTGACAAGGCTCGGCAACGAGGATACTGCTCACAGATCCGTTCCAACGGCAATTTACTGCTTCCTAAAGTGCCTCGGGCCAATATCAGGATTTTCTGTACGTCACAATCTCACAAATGTATTAAGACAATGCCAGTGGTACACAAAAAAAATTTGAAAGACAAAAAGTACGTTCAACATCTACAGTGACTAATATTCGATTAATTTTTCAGTAAAACAAATCCCGGACAGATGGGATATTATTTTTATTGATATGAGTATCGCAAAACAAAAAAAATTGGACGATGTTGAAGATGCTACAATTTCAAGTCATTCGCCGAATTGCTGCTTGTTTTCGTGAAGTTTGCGTGGTTCAGTCGTTATTTAATTCAATTGGTGAACGGTGCATTGTTGATATGTTCCAATTGCTCAGAAAATCTTATGTTTTGTTTTGCAGAGTGATTCTTCAATGGAACGAACGATAGCTCTGGCATGTGACATCGGTGGTGACACGGATACAATTGGGACCATGGCAGGAGCACTTTCTGGGGTTCACGTAGGCTTTGAAGGTGTCCCAAAAACGTGGTTGAGCAAATGCGAGCAACATGAGCGATCGGTGAAGTTGGGTGACAGACTGTATGCCATGTACAAAAGACATAACAATGCCAAACGATTGCGTAAGAAAGAAGTCGATTAAAAATGAAACGAATTACGTTTTGCGTGTTATCATAAACCCCGGGTACGTGAGGAAACCCGTGGTATTGGCGAAATATACGTCTTGCGTGCTCTGTTGCAACTGCTTCTTCTGTGCACATGTTGCAGGATGCTTTTTGAGCTTTTGCATTCGGTTGTCCAAGTGAAAAATATGAGGCTTACTTTCATTCTGAAGTTCGTTTTGGTCCATGATTCGATGGCAACAGTTTCTCGAATTGAATACAGTATAAAGTGTGGGTTGCCAGAGTTGCGATATTCATTTCTGTCGATGAATATTTTGAAAAAGGAATTCGAAGATTACCAATGGAGAGCTTATTTTGATGATAAATGAAGCTTTTATCAGTTTTGAGTCGGTTCCCATGCATTGCTGACATGTTTTGTGGTTTGTCGAATCAGTTATGAATTGTGGTCGACGTGTATTTCCGCATTTGCTTATTTCAGTGAACCTATTTTTTGAACTGAAGCAATGAGATTTTGAGGGGTGACGGGTGTTCATCTTGTTCGCGTACTTATTTAATGAGTCGCATTCTGTTTTCTTTTCGATTGATATCGTTCAAGTCTTATCTTTCCAAAAGGGAAATATGCCAGAGAATGGAAGGCACTCGCGACTGCTTTCGACGTCTTCTACTGTTAGTGAATCCGGTGTGGGACTCGATAACATTGCCAATGCGAAGTCTTCAATGATTGAAATTCCTCACATTGCCTCCAGAACCATTCCTGGCATACTCAGTAAACACAACAAGAAGGCCTTGGACTGGTTAGTTATTCATCTAACTTTTTTTCTTACGGATCATGCGCCGATGTTTTTGTTGAAGCTTTATGAGAAAACTTGATGCAAGAATCAAAGCGATTGAGGGTTTTATTTCTTTTTGAATGGAAGTGAAATATTTTTGAGATTCTCTTCCCTGGTTTTAAGTTTTATCATCTTTCAAAAATCTTTTTTCTTCAAGGGGTCCCCATGGGCTTCTGGCTTATGGTTGTAACTTTGTGGTGGTGATCGTCGATCCGGCTGCCGTTCAACACATTCAATGCCTCAACAAGCACAAAGCCGCTGTTACTCGAGTGAAATGGCAGAACAATCGGAAATGCACATCGTTGACGAATCCGAGCAGAATGCTGCTTGCTTCCTGCGACTCCTTAGGCAACATTTTGGTGTGGGATGCCCATTCGATCTCTCCCGTGATGGCCATGCAAGATGGAAACAAACCTATATTAGCTCTGGAGTGGGTCCCACATTTTGATGAGACTGAGAATCTAATTGCTGCTTTGCATCCTCCGTACTCCGTCGTTGTATGGGATGCCTTATCGGGAAACAAAATCTGGAAGAAATCTTATACGGAGCAATTGATCGGGATGGATTTTGACCCTTTTTCGGCTGCACGGCTGGCTTGTGAGTTCCACACTGTTCTGTTGCTTTTCATCTGTTTATATCATGGAGAAGGCTTGTATCGGATTTTTTCCCGGACTTACAGCTGGAAAGGGTCCACGGTTTTCAGCTGTTTCACTCCTATTGTCATCGTGAAAAAATCAATGGTGGTCGAGTCATCGCATGTTTCAATATTTTCAGAATATGTTTGATAGTGAAACAAAAAATCTTGGCATAGCCCATGATATTTTGAGGTTCTGGGATTTTTTCGGCTTTTGAAAAACATTGTCAGTTCGCTGCATAAGAAATGGAAACTTACCTGCTGTCGCTGAATGCCTTCCAGCAACAAAGAAAGTCAGAGATTTCGCTAGATTTTTTGAAGGAGAAAGTGAGAATAAAGAGGAGGAAGGAAGGAAAACAGAAAAACAGGTAGTCGGCCTGTCCTCTTTTAATAAGGACTGAAGTTTAGATTTTATTTGTACAGTATTTCACAAACTCGTAAATTCAAATTGGATTACTCCAAGAAACGAAGGTATTGGAAACGGAGAATTAACCGATTTGACTTCTTCAAAATACACAGTTTTTTACACAACCGCTCGCTTCGAAGTTTCGACAATCAGGCGATCACTGACGAACTCGGCTCGCCATTGGTGGCGAATTTTTTCTTCCAGCATCAAAGGTTTTTTGGTCAGCCAATCCGAGAACAGATCCTTTCTGATTGGTTGTAATTTTATTCTTCAGTGGTTTTTCTGGCCTTGAGCTTTTTATTAATTGATCTTTTATTGTTTCCTGTTCTCTAACCGTTTTTGGGGTTTTCTTCTTTAACAATTTTTATTGTTTATTTTGGTTTCGTTCTTTTTATTAGGTTTCTAGGGCACCTGCTACAGCCGGAGTTCTCCACCCTTGTCTCAGGGTACTGGAAATTTGTCAGGCCTTGATAAAAAAAAGAAGAAACTACCCATTATCTTTTCTAAATTTTAGATACAGTAATGGTAAATATAATAATGGTGTCTTCTTGTAATGGTGTATATAGATCATGGTTCCTTCATGTTTTAGATAAAGAAACTTATTTTTTAGCTGGCTTGACAAATTTTTAGCACTCTTTGAAATGGGTGGAGAATTCTGGGTGTAACTCGAAAGTTTTCACTTATTACCGTGCATTAATTTAAATTGTTTCCAATCCGAAAAAATCCCGCAACCTCTGCATAGGCTATGTCGCGATTTATTATTTTTTTCAAGATTACACGCTCTATAAACGCCAGAGGATGCGTCAAACTGGGACAAGCCTCGCATTCACAAGATTATTTTTGTCGGTTTTTCAATTTTGAATTTCCAGCAAGAAGACGCATGTTAAAGATGCACTTCTCTTCAAGGTTTAATTGTTTTCGAAAAATCGTCAGGATCGTTTTTTCAGTGCTTAGGATCAACCAAATTATTTTTCCCGCTAGATTTCATCATCTGAGAATTTTGCACCATCCCAGTTTCTTGTTGAATACCTCACAGCGCATTTAACAACGCAAGGAAAGTAGAAAGCCTCAGTAAATTCCGGACAATGATCGAATGCATGAGTATGAATTCCGTCATATGTAACAATTGTATTATAAAAATGTATTTAAAACCCTGAAAGGAAACTCGAATTTAGGATGTGCACAGCTGCAGATATTTTTGTCCTTCCTGCACTCAAGCCCAGACCCCCTGAGGCGTCACCACCTGTTGGGGGCCAGGACAGAGTTAAAAGCATCCTTGGGAGCAGCTGCTCCACCAGGGGGATTTCCAGGAAGTCCATTTAAAACAGAAACTCTGAAAATCGGAAGAGAGTTGAGTGGTTGCCCACTGAGAATTTCAATTTGCAGTTGGACTTTCAGCCTAAAAATAGAAACCCTCCCATTGAAAATTGTTTAAGAGGAAGATTTAAACCTTCCTCCCCAGGCATCCCATGAAGAGAGTTAAGTGGTTGCCCACTGAGAATTTCAATTTGCAGTTGGACTTTCAGCCTAAAAATAGAAACCCTCCCATTGAAAATTGTTTAAGAGGAAGATTTAAACCTTCCTCCCCAGGCATCCCAGTTGTTCTCTGTGCATTTGTACAAGATTTATTTTGAACATTTGGCAACTTCTGATGGGGCTTTTAAGTGCATTTCCACCCATTTGTGTGAGTGTTTTGCAGTTGTTCAAGAAGCTTTTAAGCTTCCTGGGAAGGGGGAAATTGAGATGTATAAATTCGGGTGTTTGAAAGAATTGAAGCAGAACAAGATCAGAACTCCAGAAGCAAGGCAGCAAGTCTGTGTGCTACAAGAATAAAACTTTGTAAAAACTTGAACTCAAGACTTTGAAGATTTTTTTACTTTGCATTGGACAGCATTACAGTCCAACACTTGAACACTCTAAAGGAAGATCTGGTAGAAAGTTGTGTGAGAAAGCAACAGCAGGAGCAGAAGGAATTTTCCTACAGTTCATTTGCAAACAGGAAGCATCAGAAATATTTTACAGTGTTTGCTGGTCCTCCGAACCGGATCTTGGAGATTGTTTCAAGTTCAAGACTTCAAAGAAAGTGCAGATTAAAGTCGCAAGTGACTCTGTTAAGGTTGAGGCAAAATTGTGAGTTCTTAGCTAGACCTGGTGTAGTGCTGCATCGTGACCACTGCGGCGGAGATAAAAACACTAAAGTTTGGTGCTCCAAGGCAGGCCAAGTAAGTCTACACACACTTCACTGGGGGGCACAGTCAGCCTGCTCAAGAATCTCAACAACTAGCCAATTCCCTAACGTTAATTTCCTTGCGTGAAGACAGAAGTGAAGACATAATTGAAAGAGAAATTCTAGCAATATGACAAAAAAACGGAATTCAATCACAACTAGTACACCACTTGGAAATTCCTCAAAGGGCACATTGCCATTCAAGAAATTGTCCCAACAACTTATTGAAACTTGCAGAGTCCTACAAGAATCAGGAAAAGCTGATAATATTGAAGAAAAGAAGCAGATGCTGAAAAAATTGGACGATTTATTAGTGAAGGGACAAGAGAGAGAGGAATACATTAAAAATCCTGCTGGGCAACCTAGAGACTCTCAGGAAGAAATAGACAAGTGGGAAAAAGTGAAACAAGAAACTGAATTGTTGCTCCAAGAAAATTGGATTGCTGATCTAAGAAACAAAATTGAAGAAGAAAATTCAGCAGAAGCAGATTCAAGTGAGCTGACAATTATTTCAGAAAAAGAAAATCAAGACAAACCTAAAAAGAAAAATGGATTGGGAAAAGCAAGCCAAATACTCTCAGCAAATATAATGTGCTTCATCACAGAGATTGAAAGAAAGCTAGAAAAATTGAGAGAAGAGAGTGAGCATAGTGACAACTTCAAGGCAACACTCAATAGACAAATTGAAAAAGCTCAAGCCATATTACAACCAGCATTCAATGATGAAAACCTGGATGCTGAAAGTGAAGAAGAAATGAGGAACTTATTTGTGGCGCGAGAAAGACTGGATGAGTTGATATTTGTTGCAAAACTTGAAATGGAGCAACTCAATGAATCGGCGATTGTGAAAACAAGAGAGAAGGAAATTGTGCAAGCTTGCGGAAAAGGTGAAAAACGCGGAGAAACAGAAAGAGGTGCAGCTCGCGAAATCCAGCCCCATGAACTCTTGAAAATGGCTGAGAGGAACTTTGGGAACTGTGAAAGTGAGCCCCATCTGGATGGAAGCAGTGATGGAACAGTTAAAGCTTTAGCCAGAGCATTGGGAGATGTTGCCCTGCGTCCACAAATTGAGATTCAGCGATTTGAAGGTGACACTACCGAGTTTCAACCCTTTCTGCAAATGCTTCAAGAATTGACCCAGACAATCAATTCCGACATACAAAGGTTCGTGCTGCTCAAAAGTTATCTACGCGGTGAACCCCTGACCCTGATATCAAACATCAACATGGATAATGGAGCTTATAAAATGGCACTCTCAATCTTGAAAGAAGAATATGGGTCTCCTCATAAAATTATCAGGGATCTGACTGGAAGATTGAAAGAAGTACCCACAGTAAAAATGAATGCTGCTAAGGAACTGAGGGATTTATCAAACAGGATTGATTCAATTGCAAGAACTTTGAGGGAAAATGGAATGAGGGCTGATTTGGAAAGTATTCTTCTTATGGACCTAGTCAAGACAAAAATTCCAATGCCATTGCAAACAAAATGGAACCAAATGCAAAGGGAAAATAGAACCCCAAGGGCACCAAGTACACTGGAATCATTTGCAATGTTCCTGAGATACATTCTAATGGACTGGAGGGAATCAGTGAATGAGCCAGAGAAGGAGAAAAAGCAATCAGCTCCTACTAACAAAGAATTTCGCACCAATCAAGCTAAGAGAGGGCAAAAGAGAGAAGATGCTAATTTTGTGGTACAAGAGGGAACAAGCCAACCCAAAGACAAATATCCCTGCCCAAACTGCAAGAAGACAAATCATGTTCTACCAGAATGCTATTTCTTCAAGAAACTTTCAGTCAAAGAGAAAAGCAAAAAGGCAAAGGAATATGGAGCATGTTTCAAATGTTTGAGAACAGGACACATGAGCAGGCAATGTCATTCCAAAATCAGATGCAAAACCTGTAATAATCATCACCACACACTTCTTCATGGATGGGATGAAACTCAAAAACCTTCAGTGCCAGAAGTGTCAAATGGGAAGGAAGACAAGACTGAGATGGGGGGAGCCACAAAAACAACAGAAGCATCAGCTCAAGATGTCAATGCAATTGCAGCACACACAAATATTTTTCCACTACATATGGTCCATGCAGAAGTAAAGGGGCCAAAAGGGATTAAAGAAGTGGGAATCCTACTTGACAGTGGAAGCTCAAGAACATTGATTGAAGATCAGCTAGCCCATGAACTGGGATTGAAGCAAAGAAAAATTGAAAGAATCACATTTGGAATAAACACACAAGAAGTTGAAACTGCTGGAGAGGTCCAATTTGAAATCAAACGTCTTGGAGGCAACCAATGGCATCTCATAAAGCAGGCTGCAACAAAAAGAAAAATAACATTACCAAAACTGCGCATTGCATGGAGGAAATGGGTAGAAACTCAACCAAAATTTGAAGGCTTCAATGTCAAAGACCTGAACTATGATCAAGTAAAGGTCATTATAGGGGTTGACCAAGAAGAATTACTCATGCCAATCCCCAACAGCTTTGTGAAGGATAGAAAAACAGGAATACATGGTTACAACACAGCATTGGGGTGGACTTTGACTGGAGACATGAAGCTCACAGAAAATGGTGATGCAAGTTTTGTCCAAGTAGGAATCTACCTAGCAGAACAATTCAGGCGCTTCACAGATGTTGAGACCACAGGCATCACAAGACCTGAGGAAAATATTGAGCCTCGTGATGTTACAAAATGGAAAGAAAAGATGAAGAAAGAAGTAGTACACAATGGAGAAAGGTACATAGCACCAATGTTGTGGAAAGAACATCCAAGTATCCCAGAGTCCAAATCACAAGCTAAAAGACGTATGGAACTATTGGAAAGGCGTTTGGCAAAAGACATGAATCTGAAGCATCAATACAATGACACTTTCAAGAGGGACTTGGAAAAGGGATACATTCGCCTATTGACAGCAGAAGAAGTTGAGGAATATGAGAAGGGTCCACATTACTATCTTCCACACTTCCCAGTATTTCACCCAGACAAGCCTGACAAGGCACGTAGAGTGATGGATGCCAAGACCAAAAATTGGGGAAGAAGCTTGAATGATCTTCTGGAGACAGGGCCAAATCTTCTTTCCAACCTTTTGGGAGTTCTTCTAAGACTGCGGATGAAGAAAATAGCTATTAATGCAGATGTCAAAGAAATGTTTCCTCAAGTCTTGGTTCAGAAGCAAGAACAAAAGATGCTAATGTTCATGTGGAGAGAAGATATCAACAAGCCAATCAACACATATGTCAGCTGTGTGCACATATTTGGTGCTGCATGCTCACCAGCAGTAGCCAATTTCTGTGCCCAACTTACTGCCAGTGACACAGGGAATGCAGAACTCCAAAAGTTAATCTGCAAAAGCTTCTATGTGGATGATTTCTATGCATCCTTCAACACAACTGAAGAGGCAAACCAATATGGAAAGCTGATCAAAGACACCCTGAAAAGAGGGGGATTTGAATTGGATAAGTGGGTCAGCAACAATCCTGAGGCTCTAAAAGGGATAAGCTCAAATACAAACCAATCTAATGAGAAAAACATCAAAGACAAGGAAGGTTGGAGCAAAGCACTGGGTATCAAGTGGAACCTGATCTCTGATGGATTTCATCTTTCAACTCGCAACCAAATAGAAGAAATTACAAGTCCTGCAAAATTCTTGTCAACACTAGCAAGTCTTTTTGATCCAATTGGCCTATATGCACCAGTCAAAATAAGAGGTGCCATCTTGATGAGTGAAATATGGAAGGCCTTAAGATCCTGGGACAAGACACTAACACCAGAAATGCAACAAGATTGTCAAGAATGGGCAAACACACTGTCTGAACTGCAGAATTCTTCTGTGCCAAGATGGACAGGGTTGGAAGAAAATGACAACATCACAATCCATGCATTCTGTGATGCATCTGAGAGGGCCTATGGGGCTGTCCTTTACACCATGAATGAACAGGGAAGAAGCAGAGTATTTCTTGCAAAAGGGCGTGTTGCTCCATCCAAAATCCTGAGCATCCCCAGACTGGAACTGCTATCAGCTTTGACTGCCATCAGGCTAATCCATTTTGCCCTGACTGAAATACAAGATGCAAAGATTAGAAGAGTGATTCTATGGTCAGACAGCAAGACAGTTCTATGTTGGATAAGAAGCCCCCCATCCAAGTTCAAGCCATTTGTGGCCCACAGGGTGGGAGAAATACAAGAGACACTGGACAGCAGAATATTTGACCAAGTAAAAATGGAATTCAAGCATGTACCTTCACAACAAAATGCAGCAGATAGAATTTCAAGGGGATTAACAGCAGAGCAAATGCAAATAGAATGGGAAGAATGGGTTGATGGACCAGAATTCCTAAGAAGACCTGAGAGTGAATGGCCAAAGACAACAATGGAAAAGGAATCAACTCAGGAGAATCAACAAGAGGAACAGAACTCTTCACCTTGTTTAGTGTCAGTTGAGACCTTCAGTGAAGAGGATGAAAGGCTTAAAAATGCCTCATCCTGGTTTCAATATGTACAAGAAAGGATTCAGAAGAAAGATTTGACTTCAGATGATTTGGAGGAAACACTCACAAAAGTCATTAGTGAACACCAACAAAATTACTTCAAGAAAGAAATTAAAGAATGCTCAAAGAAACCAAACCGAAGCATGGCATTCAAAAATGGACCTTTGAAACAACTCTTGTGCTTTCTGGATGACAAGAACGTATTGCGTATGGAATCTAGATTTACCAATGCAAACTTCATGACTATGGAAGAAAAGAATCCTGCAATCTTACAAGGGTCATCTTGGCTGGCAAAGTTATTCATCAAAGATGAGCATAGAAAACACAACCATGCTGGACCAGAATTCACAAGGGCCATATTGAGGAGGAAATATCACATCATTAAAGTGAAGGCATGGGTGAAAAGGGAAATTCACTCATGCCCTGAATGCAGAGCAAGAAAGCCTACAGGAATAAGAAACCATCAAGCACCATTTCACAGCAATCGGCTAGCCTTACAAGCAAATCCATTCACATCAATGGGAATTGATCACTTTGGGCCTGTAGAGCTTGTTGGAGGAAATTGTTGGGGACTCATACTGATTTGCCTTACAACCAGAGCTGTGCATCTTGAACCTACAAAGAGACCTGATGCTCAAGCCTTCTTAATGGCATTGGAGAGATTTGTAAGCAGAAGGGGAACCCCTAAAGAAATCTTTTGTGATGGAGGCACAGGATTCCGCAAAGGGAGCAGATTAATTCAACAAATGATCAGTGAGAGCAATGTGCAGCAAGAATGCCTGAGAAAATGGAACATCAAATTTCATGTCAACCCTCCTGGCTCCCCACACTGGGGAGGGAGCTGGGAACGCATGATTCGAGAGGTTAAGAAGAGCTTGAAGATAGCAAATGACAAGCAAAGAGGAAGGCTACGCTTTGAGGAATTCTTCACTGCACTGGCAAAAATAGAAGGAGACTTAAACAGGCGCCCAATTGCATTCACTGATGATGGGTCAGCAATAACCCCATATCACATATTGATGCCAGGATCAACAGAAATCTCTTTTATCCCCTGGACATCCAATGTTTCAAAAGTCCTAGCAAGCATTCAAAACCTAAGGGCATCTTTTTGGAAATCTTGGAGAAGTGTTTATCTTCATTCTTTGAGAGTCCACAGAGCCATCAAGAATCCTAGTGCAGAGTTGCAGAAAGGAGACCATGTCCTGGTGGATGACAGACAAGGGAATGCATTTCAACCTGTCTGGACAACTGGAACTGTTCTGGAAATCTTCCCAGGAAGAGATGGACGAGTAAGGAGTGCAGTTATCAGGACAACCAATGGAGATCGACAACTTGGAATCAACCGCCTGTTCCATCCAGAGATGCAGACTTCTAATGGGCTGAACTAAAAGGAAAAGAAGACAAATGAAGATTATCTCCTTTTCGGGGGGAGTGTTGTAACAATTGTATTATAAAAATGTATTTAAAACCCTGAAAGGAAACTCGAATTTAGGATGTGCACAGCTGCAGATATTTTTGTCCTTCCTGCACTCAAGCCCAGACCCCCTGAGGCGTCACCACCTGTTGGGGGCCAGGGCAGAGTTAAAAGCATCCTTGGGAGCAGCTGCTCCACCAGGGGGATTTCCAGGAAGTCCATTTAAAACAGAAACTCTGAAAATCGGAAGAGAGTTAAGTGGTTGCCCACTGAGAATTTCAATTTGCAGTTGGACTTTCAGCCTAAAAATAGAAACCCTCCCATTGAAAATTGTTTAAGAGGAAGATTTAAACCTTCCTCCCCAGGCATCCCAGTTGTTCTCTGTGCATTTGTACAAGATTTATTTTGAACATTTGGCAACTTCTGATGGGGCTTTTAAGTGCATTTCCACCCATTTGTGTGAGTGTTTTGCAGTTGTTCAAGAAGCTTTTAAGCTTCCTGGGAAGGGGGAAATTGAGATGTATAAATTTGGGTGTTTGAAAGAATTGAAGCAGAACAAGATCAGAACTCAAGAAGCAAGGCAGCAAGTCTGTGTGCTACAAGAATAAAACTTTGTACAAACTTGAACTCAAAGACTTTGAAGATTTTTTACTTTGCATTGGACAGCATTACAGTCCAACACTTGAACACTCTAAAGGAAGATCTGGTAGAAAGTTGTGTGAGAAAGCAACAGCAGGAGCAGAAGGAATTTTCCTACAGTTCATTTGCAAACAGGAAGCATCAGAAATATTTTACAAGTAACTCATCCCAAGTCTGTCGGTTTTCGGGATCCAGATACAATGCCAAATATTCGTGTAGTTCGCAATGTGCCCTTTCATTTTGTCCATTTCCTTGGGGGCGGTAGGCAGTAGTTGTAGTTGCTTGAGCCCCAATGAATCTAGCCATATTGCGAAATATGCTACTGAGGAAGTTAGTTCCTCTGTCCGTTAAGATTTTTCTAGGAGGTCCGAACAGGCAAACCCAATCACTTAAAAAGAGTGTGGCAGTCATTGCTGCCGATGCTTCTTTCATTGGTGAAAATACAATCCATTGGGACAATCTGTCCTGGATTACTAAAATGTATTGGTTTCCTTTTGAACTGCTAGGTACCGGACCTACCACGTCGATACTAACTTCTTCAAAACAATTTTTTGGT